TTTTTTTTTTGTCAAATCAGAAAAAAATGAAGAGGCGAATCCGAGAACCAACAAATTAAATTGGTGTGGCCTTAGGTGAATATGTACTGGAAAATGTCTGAGAACTACTGAAATGAGTTGTTGTGGCTCTCACTCACTGTTTCGAGGTCGCTTGAAGTCTCCCCATGACTGTCTGTTTCCATTTCTCTCTATCCTCCATCGCACAGCTGGCAGTTGACTTTCCAATGTCATCCTCTAGTTGCTTTATGTTAATGATACTAAGTTAAATGTGGTCTTCCAAGACTTCTCTCCATTACTCAGGTTCCACTGTATTAGAGTTTGTGTACATTGTACTTTCTCATCCTTTTTCCTCCAACAGTGGTCTACAAAACGTAGTCTCCTTTGCCGTATTGTTTCAGCAATCAGCAGTACAGCTCAATTGGTTTGAAATTATTTGTGTCCATGAAATGTTCAAGACATTTCTCAGCATTCTAGTGTATGGGCTATTTAGCCTTCTCTCCTGCCAGTGTTTTTGTAAGTGTCCAGCACTCTGACCCGTAGAGAAGGATTGATTCTATTGCTGATCTAAAGAAACTGATTTTTGCAGCTGGGCTTAAATCGAGCGACGAATAGAATCAAAGGCTTTGAGATTCTGATCCTTGATACCTTCAATAAGTCTCCTAAGAGCTAATATCTGAGATAATGTTGATCGGCCTGGCCAAAAACCATTTTTATTATTTCTTAGCATTTTGTTGCAAATTTTTGCTGCTGTAGCTGACAATCTGATTCCTTCTATTTACTAGTAAGTTGCATAACCAAGGTCTCCCTTTTTTGGTAGTGGAAAAAAGTGGTGGTGGCTCTAATATTTGGGAATTTCAAAGATGGTTATGAAGTAATACTGATGTGACACCACAAGCTGCCCCTCCCCACTTATAGCCACATGCCAGGGTTTTTTAATGTAAGCTATGGTGCGGATGTGTTTTCCCTCAGCTGTGAACATCTCCACCCGGCTGTTCCAACTATCAGCCACAATCACACGCCCCAAACTGTCCACACAGATTCCTGTGGGGTAATTAAGATTCCCTGTTTCAGTGCCTTTGGTACCAAAAGTGAATAGGTAGACTCCGTTCTTGTCATACTTTAGAATACAAGCGCCCCTCATGTTTAAGATATAGATGTTCCCTTTTGTGTCCACGGTTACAGAGCGGTAATTATAAGATGCTGTTGTTGCTGATAGCCACCAGTTCACCCAGTTAATCTTACATGTTCGTGGCGGTGAGTAAGTAGGACTTAACCACACAATCTCTAGCTCTTTGGGTTGTCTTAATGCCCTTATCGCCAGTATGGTTCTGTCAGAAGGCTCCTGCCAGCCAATGCCAAAGATTACACTGTTGCATTTGAACTCGGCAAGAACATGGCCCTCTTTGCTGTACTGTCGGATGTAAGGTGCGTACAAAGTGATCCACAGGGTATCATTGCTGCCTATGCACATTTTAGGTTGTTTATTGTGTGATGTGGAGAAATTGCGAAGGTAAACTCCCTCCATGCTGAAGACCTGGATTCTAGTTCTGTCAGCCACAAATATCTCGTTAGTCGAGGACACGGCCAGGCCACGCACAGAACGAAACTGGCCGGGGCCTTTGCCTTTTCCACCAAAAGTGACATTCTTTTTCACTTCTGCTGGTAAAACAGAGTAAAAACTTGGTGTAGTCTGTGGGCACCACTTTATACACATATATATATATATATATATATATATATATATAAATATACACTTTACACACACACACACATATA